GCGTCAAACAACGTAGAAAGATGAAAGTAAGTGCTGGTATGCCTAATCGACCCCAAAGGGCGCAATATCAGCATCTGATTGAGTTCGAACGGGGGAGAATGATCGGTCTCTGGGAAGAGGGTTTGTCGTACCGTGACATTGCGGCTCGGGCGGGGCGCGCTGCTACGATGGTGATGCGCGTCTGGAATCAGTGGATAGGAAAGGATCCTACACAGTGACGAGCGCGTACTGGACCACGTAATGTGACCACAACGCGAGATGACCACCATCTTGTCTGCATGGCCGTAACCGTCAGAACGGCGTTGACCACAGCGTTGGCTCGACTTTGGAGCACTGCAACAGGTGTGGACATGTCTGCGCCGGATTCCGTTGATCAGAAATCACCAACACCTCAGACAGCAATTGGCATGTGTGCTGAGTTTGTACTGGTGTGCTGAGCGGCCAAATGAGGACGACGCGACGCCAGCACATACATAAGTTAAATTCCTGTCATATCTCGACGGAAACTATCAATGCCATCAAATGATTTATTGCTAATTAATTGCCACGTATTGCGAAAACGGATGTGAGTTGGGCGCCAACATACACATAAGTTATTTTCGGGTCGTAGATTGACGTTAACCCTCAAATGGATTAATGCTAATTAATTACCTCAATTTGAAATTAATTGCCACACTTTTTCGTTCGGAAAACGGGTGCGAGCTGCATTGCCACGCCAAACCAGCCCACACAAGTTAAATTCGGGTTGTAAACAACTTCTAATAAATTATGTGCGTGATGCCAGCACGGAGATTCGTACTGGCCACGAATTAATTCCAAATTGTTGCAGTTAATTCACAATAAATCATTTGAGGGTTTCCGTTGAGCTGCGACTCAAATTTATCTTATGTGTGCCGACGCCCACCTCACATCCGTTTTCGCCACGAAACTATACGTGGCAATTAATTCCAATGTTCCTTATTTCACAAGCCTAATTATTGATCTTCACATAGGCAAGTTAATGCAGTCAGATTCTATTACGAACTATTTTTTATAAAATATTACAACTGTTTGTATCTGTAAGGCTTGAGAAGGGCGTGGGCAATTCTAGGGACACATCCTGTCTTGCTCCTCTCGACTGGTATCAGGAACTCTCTTACAGCGGCCCGAAGAGCACTGCGCATCCCCGCGCGACGCCACTCTAGTCGCTATCCATTTCTCCCCGAGACAATACATATAATGCCGCGGTGGCAATTTCAGTTAATTGCAACATGTCACTTTTCTTTGTGCCCAACGCCTTTACAAGGTAACATTTTAACTGTTTTAATGTGTGTCAGTGCAATACAAACGGTTTGATCTTCATCATCACATTCATGGGCAATTTACGCATATACTTTTTATGCATTCACGTTATTCGTTGATTGCAATGGCTTCCACTGAACCTTCGCATGTGTGTGGTGGAACTTATTTAATTAATGGTGACTGTTCAACTCTTCTATAATGGCAATATTGATAATTCCATTCACCACGTACATTAACTGAATTAATTTCTCTTTGCAGTTGGCGATAACGTATTACGCAATATGTACCATTAGACAGGTACTTTGTCTACCGTAGTTGCACGCGCATTCTTTCTTCCTGATTATAACAAGGCAAGCGGCGTATCTCGCTAGTGTGGACATCCGGCATTGCTAAGATTGTACGTGTGCGTATGCTCCCACCAGCTGAAAATGCTGCAGCCGTACAGTGTGCACAATACCTGAGGACGGTGCCGCTAACACATATTGTATGTATGTGCGTTGTTCTTTCTTCATAGGTTCATCCCAAAAGTCTGAACTTTGTTACTCCAATTGTTATATATTTGAGAAGGTCATTCATTAATTCACAATAATCAACCGCAAGGACACTTCATGTCCTCCTGCATAGGTAATTAAATGTTAACGGAGGATTACTCGTAGCATGCGATTAACGCCCTCCTAAAGGTTTAGAGACGCGTTGCGTCAGTATCAGACGCAACATATTTTAAAAAATTCAACAGTTCATACTACAATTTGTTTATCATTTAATTACATGTATTAACTTTAAACATTTTCGTTTACTCCTGAGTGCTGGCGACATTCCCCAATATAATTCGATTGAAGCCATGCGAGCTTCACAGCTTCCTCTGCGAGTGGTCCTTCGTTATGGTAAGAAAATAAGTTGGAGAAGGATGGCTGGGATTGGTATGACAACAGACCACTTCCGTCACATCACAGTTTGTTGGTTCAAATCACCTCCGCTATCCAATTTGTGGCAATTAATTAGCAGTTAATTAATACTAAATGATTTGAGCGTTTCCCTCGAGCTACGATCCTAATATAACTTTTGTGTGTACTGACACCCTGCTCACCCGTTTTCTCCACAAAGATGCGTGGCAACTAATTCTAAATCGTGGCAATTTCGTGGCAAACACCCGTTTTCGCTCTGAAATTACGTGGCAATTAATTCCAAATTGTGGCAATTAATTAGCAATAAACTAGCAATAAATCATTTGGCATGTTTTATTCCGGTGTGCTGTGTGTCCTCTCCGGCCCCCCGAAGGAACGGGCAGAGGCGTAACCACCGAGACTCGCATATTTTTAAATCGTTATTATGTCAGTGGCGTAGGCTCAATGGATTCGATTGATGTGTCGCATCCCCAAGTTATTTAGCTCTTTTAAAACTTTTGTGAAAAGGTTTCTCAAGTATATCTCTCTGTTCTCTCTGTACCTTTCGTTTTTTTCCCACGCGCTTTCTGGTAGGTGTCTGTCACTTCCGTAGTTGTGATAGGCCGAGAAACATCCCTTCGACGACTTCGCTTCGTAACCGAGGTCATTGAACTCTCCCCATGTGCTGTGTAGAAGATGCTAGGTTTTGGCCGACGGTGATGTGAGTGCCGACTGTCGCATCTCTGACTTCTCATTGGCTGCTTCTCTATCCCCCTCTCGCCTCCTTATACTACTTTTTCTCCTTTCAGTACAAGGTTTGGGATTACAGCTCTGGGAATCACAGTGGTCACCTGCTAAAGACTGTGGATTCCAGAGCGGATTGTCGGGGGGGGGGGAGGAGGACCCTCTTGACCAGACAACACACGAACGAACGTTTGCCAACAGCCCTGATCCAGAACGTGATTTCTGAGACACAGGTTATCAGTACTGACAAGGATCTCTTACGCGACTTGTAATAGTTCCTTAAAGCCAGCTTTTTCACGTGTATTATAAGTATTGTGTTGTGTGTTGATGCGAAAGTGCTGAGTGTTTTTTGAAACTGCGTGAACAGAAACTAGTAGGGGAGACCGTTGCACTTACGAAAACAATGTATATTTTAATTTTTTTGTAGTGACAAATTTTTTAGCGTGATTTCTGGTTCTATTTTAGGGAGTCTCTCTTCGGGTTGTGAATAATTAAGAAGCTGTGAAAAATAAGTAGCTAATTTTTGGCAATTTTCTTTATTTATTAAGGCTAGTTTACCATTTTGTTTTCAAAAGCATAGGTTCTGGGGTGAATACCCTTTGATTTGGTTTGCAAAAGTCTTGTAGATATCGTGTGTGTGCGATTTTTATAGTTGCCTTCGATTGACTTCAGTTGGCCATTGAATATCTTCTCTTTATTTGTCTTAACATTGTGGACGTTTGTTTGCAAACTTCGAAAAATTTGTCCTGTGTTTCTTCCGGTTTGTTGCAATTGTAATTTTGAATCAGCATTTTTCATTTTTTTTCTAGTGCATTCTCTTATTCTTCATTCCACCAAGGGTGTTTTGGCTTTTTGTGAAGAAAGATCAATTCTTTCGCATATTTTATGATTTTGGTTTGAAATTTCTGCCAATTTTCTGCAGGTTGTTCTTCGCATTTTTCTTTTTTTTTTTAGTTTTTGATTTAGTATAGATTGAATTTGGGGATCTCTAGTTGTTATTATTATTATTATTATTATTATTATTATTATTATTATTATTATTATTATTATTATTGCTATTATTATTATTGTTATTATTATTATTGTTATTATTATTATTAGTAGTAGTAGTAGTAGTAGTAGTAGTAGTAGTATTAAAAAAAGAAAGGGAGGAAGGAGTCGCGGGAAGGGTAAGTCTATCAGTGCCAGCGCCAAGAGATAGCGGCAAGCAACGCGGCTTAGCAACGCGTTTATGTTGATACCTTTATGTGACCCAAGACAGGCGGGCAAAACCCGCCCAGACCTGGCCCCTCACCCCACTTTCCTCGGCACCCAGGCGGTGATGAACGATCCAGGTCCCTCGAGACCTCCCGGACGCTGCATGTCTCGCGCCAATCGTCCACGACACAAGGCAGAGCAGGGCAAGAGAGTGCGGAGGAGAATCAACAGAAAAGTTATATCTTGGGAACCGATTGGGGTATGATGGTAAAATGAAAACTAAATTGCGTCGTGGGTAGTATCTGTGTACAAATTTAATGTGGTTTGAATCAGCATTCTTTGCGTTGAATCCGTCTGTTCAGTTCTACTGACAGGAGCCCAGCAATTGGGGTGACATGAAATTCGTTTTAGTAATCCAGTAAGCAAGTTGAAAAAGTACTTAAAAGCTTTAAATTCGAACATCACCCACAGACTCTTCATAATTATCTATATTGATGATTTTTTTAGGGATTTCTTTAATGCATGTGTCCCGAACATTGAGTTTTTCGTTAGAAACTACCCAAGACAGGTTCAGAGGCTGAACGACTATCAAACATAGGCGCAATTTTTCGGAATTTGTATGAAATAAGAAAACAAAACTCAAAATGAAATTAAAACTGGTCTAATGCAAAACCATATAAAGTAATAATACACAAAAAATAGGAGTTACTTCTTCCTGATATTCATGTAGTATAATGGCTACTGTTATTTTTTCAATTCCTTTTAGTTTAAGGTACTACAAATTAGTCATGTAGGATATACAACATGTGTTGAATCTTGCTATTAATTTTCTCTTTCCTTCACTGGCAAGCAATAACTGAAAAAGTGCTTCTCAATAAAACAACATATTTTCTACTTTTCACAGTATTATATTTATTTGTTTATGAAATGTGCATTAATTTTCAGCATTTCAGTACAGTAAAGAAATATTACAAAACAAGGTATAAATTACATTCTTACAAAAGTTATATTATTGATCTATTGATGAATTTGAAGAACCTTGTGAACTAAATGATATCCGTGCAGAATCTTTTCTGTTTCCTGGAACTCTGAAATGAATTATTGTCTTTTCTTAATGAAGGAAACTTGCAAATTAAGAGTGTTATATAATTGTGGTTTCAATGTCTATCATGTGAATAAAGTGCTTGACATACGTTGGTCATCATAAAATACATTAGGATTTTATTTAACATTTTTAAAATTATTTTGCAACAGTGTTTTGTTGTGTATTTCTCCGTGTTCACCAACATTAAACATGACTTCAATGTTTCCGACTAGTCACTCAGGTTAAAGCCTACTATCAACTTAGGTAGAACTGCGACGACATCTTGACAGTCGGTCTCTTGACTTTGATTCAATCAACATCGTTTTAACATCGTTTCCTTAAAAGTGAGGCATTAATTATCTCATTCGAAAGGCTAAAAACTGCCAAGATTTTGTTTTCGATTCAAAAGTTATCCGGAGACAAACGCTAAATCGACCATTTTCTGATTCTCGGCTTAGTATTTACGTCAAATTTCTAACTTCACTCCACAAAGCTGTTCGCAGTTTTGGTATTTTGAGTTCGCCCCACAAGTGCAGAACTAACTACATACATGTCATTCCAAAACTCAAGTCAGATGCGATGCAGTAGTGCTTGCTCAACACAGTGTGATTATGCCTGAGAGCTCTAGAGAATGATCATTTCCTTTCAAACTCATCTAAGCATGTGTTTTCACTCAACAAGTCATGTAATTTTAGGATCATTTATCAACAACAAATGCAGAACATTATCTATTTTTTCATCACGCTGAGAATATTATTTAACACAACTCTCACACAGGAAACTGCGCATGTTCTGTCTAGTGTCCAGGAAGATGTACACCAACAAACTATCTTCTTGATTAACATTCGTATAACTCAATTTTTTAAATAACTTTTCATTATCAGCATTTCTAATGTCTAAAGTAAAAATATATCTGTTAGAAATATAGAGTAAAGTTCTGTTTAACATGTAGCTTCAAACAACACTGTTACAAAATTTGGAAATGTCGCATGTAATGCACAACACTTAAAAAGCTACTTCAAGTTTTGTAATGTTTTTCTTATATGCCGCAACAGAGATGCAGGTAAAACTTCCTGGAGTATATGATTAAAATTTTCATTTTTCGATAAGCAGCGGAAAATTTGCTTGGCATGGCATCTGAAAAAAGGGGGCATTAAAATATTTGAAATGACAATTAAACATTGGATAAAATTCGCGAAGACCAAAGATATAGACAATTTTCAGAATACCTTGTATCAAGACTCCCTTCGGTCAACAAATTTGCACCAGTTAAGATAATCTTGTCACGCATATCTTGTGAGGCCATCATGACGCGATCTGTGCCAATTTTTGACACAACTGCATACAGGAGTCTCGCTGCTGTAGTACGGACAATAGCGTTTTGATGACTGCAAATGAATATTAGTTTACGTTATACAAACATATTGTAATCTACAATTTGGTGGGTGCGTAATGTAAAAGAGGATAAGTCAAGTTTTGTCTAAAATGAGTATGTAAGGTTATTGCTATTCTGACAGTACTATTATTTGGTGTAGAGGGATAAGTGTCATTTAAATTGTTAATAGCAAAATTGAAATGTCACTTATCTCCCTACACACAGTGATATCAACAATGATAAAACAATGTCCTGGCATACTCGTTGACTCAATCCCTTTTACCTGCGCAACCGCCAGTTCTTCCACTACTAACAGATATTATTGCAGTTCCACACTAAACAGATATTATTGCAGAAATATGTAGTCTTTTATACATTAAAAGGCGTCTTTTATACACTAGAATTTCCCCTTGTCTAATATAATGTTCCCAAACGACCTCATTTCCTTCAATTAATGCATCATTAAATCCATATATAGTATTTGAGTAAAACTCCGAATGTGTGCGGATGTGCGATTCCGTCACTCGCGGCTAGACCACTTTCCGTACACCAATCGAGATGTATGATGTGTCATTCGACGCGTTTCGGTCTCCTGATGGGGAACTGATAATTTGTTTCCGGATCCGGCTAGAAGATGCAAAGAAATGTACAGAAAGTGTTTTTTCGTGTTTTGGCGCCGCGATCTTAGTGATAATGTCGGGTATTAAACCAATGCTTCCTAAATCAATCTATGTAGGTGGCGTTGATTAAACACTAGTCCCCAAAGGCTTTTTTCACTCAATACGCCATAATTTTCTTTCACGACGTTGCCAACACTATTGTTGACATCAAGTGAATAATTGAATTACCAAGTGAATCGCCCCGCATATTGATTACAATTTAGATTCAAATTGTCGTATTTCAAAAATAAATTTGCGAAACCTACGAATAGAATTGCCTCGGAACTTATTACACTTGAAGAATGTCGAGTGAATACGGAGAAAAAAACTTAGTAATGCTAGAGACTGAATGAACGTTATGTTCGACTTCTCACTTTTACGTTCTTACATAAGGGTGCAAATACCGATTTTCAAATGAATGTGACCTACAACTTATTCTTATTAAACTTAACTAACACCTTATTCACATAAACATACAAAACAGTCGCCTTTTAATGTTAGATTCACATGCAACGCTAGATTCGCATACAAAACAATTAATAGAGCAATTGCAGAAGTAGAAGTGGGTACAAATTAGAAACGGTTTGTGAAGTTTTGATCTCTTCAAATATTAGGGGAGAAAAATATGGAAGTGTTAGGGAAATGTGGGGAAGAATCAAATGTAGTTGTAAAAGATGTTGCGACAGAATTTTCGGAACTAATTGGGAATGGTCTGCATTTAGCATTTGTTCTAATGCAAATGTGCTTTGTAAAGTTTTATGCTTATTAGTAAAATAGCGAAAAAATGTAGCTTGTTAAAATTTAACTATTAACATCAAGCCTACAAGTAATTGTTACGTTGATTATAATTCTGAAATTGCAATAAGACCAGTTCATATTCCGTATGGAGGTAACATACATGGCCATTGGGCGTTGGAAACTTTGGAACGAGAGTAAAACATTATCAGCTTCTACGATTCATTGGCGAGTCCAATGCCAGATACTGAAAGAACGTATTAGGACAAAGCTGGGCATGAAAGAAAATTTCAGCTCATGAAACTATTTTTAAAACAATTTATATCGTTGGCGACGCAACATTTTACTAGCAAAGATAATAATATTATATATATATATAATATATATATATATATATATATATATATATATATATATATATATATTCACGGTATAATATCCGATAAGTATATAGTGTATATAAATATATAGTGACGATACATATAAAGTGTCGTGGACAAGGATTTCATAATAAAAATTATGTTACCATCCGATTTATCTTATAAGAACCCTCAAGGGGGGAAAGGATTTTGGTCGTTACAAGATATATTACAGTAGTATTTTCCTCAGTGCTATCGACAGACAATGCCCGTGAAACATTTCTGAGACCACCTCAGGAGACAGTTTCAGCAGCGTAGAACTTAGCAAGATTTGAAGGACCAGATGCAGCCAAAGGTTCATAGTAATATAGAATTAGTCCAGTCAACGAATGCTCAGAAAAGGTGCGAAGAGAACATGGAGGAGGGAAGATTTTTCCTTCCTAGTTATGACCCAGCGGCAGAACTGGGAAGGAATTAGGACAGTGGTAGGGTTTAGGAGGCTTCACAGGGATTGGACTATCCCCTGTGAAGCAGGCAAAGTCGTTTTTTCGGAACATATTTCACATGAAATTGTCCGAGAATCGAACACGGACATCCTTGGTGAAAAAAGCGACTTCGCTCTGAGCCACGAGCTACCTCCCCCTTTGTTCTTTGTGTTTCTTTGTAGCCTGAAGATGAGGAGAAAAAACGTCTTCGGAACCTAGCTCAACATAAAAATCTTTAATATAAGCTTATTTCATCAAGAGTTTGTCTATTACAATTATTTCAATGTCTTTTTGCCTCTAAAAAATTTGAAGTGAAATTGTATATGTGAAAAACGTGATGTGCAATATTGTGAGAAACTTATGAACAAGTACATTTTAATAAGTGTTTGTTAATTTTATTAATAACTCACATAAGATACAAAAGCAAAGTAGGTATTTGGGAGCTTGAGAAAATGTTCATAGTTTCTCCCTCATATGTAACATTTTTTAAAAATATTCTTGATTTAAATAAATAAACGTATAACACTGGTCCTTCTTGGTGCGTACTTTTTGTCAGCAAGGTATCAGTAGGGGAATATTTTACTGAGAAGTTGAAATATGCATCTGCATGTTGTAGGATATATGATATGCTTACATGAATTGCAATGATCAACTGTAATCGCTAAGTAAATTACGGATTATTAAATTACCTTGCTCCTTTTGTAACAATAACTGATACTGCTTTGGAGGGAGAAACAGCTTCCACCATGCTGTCCAAGGCAGTGTTACAATCGGCTCTGAGGAATTTGTTTGTGTCAGCCGATCGATGAAATAGTGGTCCTGCCAGTTCGTCCAGATCCTGTGCAAAAGGAAGATATTTTTGAGAAGATTTAAGGCATATTTTACGTCTGTACTAATCAGTTTTATTATAAACACTGCTATTTTTTTAAGTGCAATTAACAGAAGAACAGGAAGGCGACTGTTTCTGAAAAGCTACGTTCGCCGAATAACTTAATGAATTGCGGTTGAAATTATTTAGCCGAATATTTTGTTCATTCTATTTCTGTTTAATTTTATTAATGTATTATTTTATTGAACATTACTTAACTAATATTTTCAATAAATGAATATTTATTCCTTCTTAATACAAATCTCAAATTACAAATTTATTGAAAATAGCAATTTCTTTTAAGAGAAGAATTCCCTCTAGTCGACTCGTTAGACGTCGTTATTAATTATATTATTGATTAAAAACCTTTATTTAGAATAAAAAAGTGTAATAGGTACGTATCCTTCGCTACGACAAGCAGATATGCTTAAATGCGATTTGCCACATTAATATGGGAATTATCCTCAAAACTGAAACTTAAAATATGATCATGTTGCATTTTAAATTAATATCCGCCTTCACAATATTCAAAAAGTAGAAGAGATGCCGAATAAAACATACGTAATCTGTCTTCTCTATTGTGAAAAATACAACTCTTTACTTACATTCTCTACAGCTCGTCCCAGAGTTGAAAAAAGCTCGGAAGATACCATACATGCTGCTCTGGAAACTTGTGAACGAAGATTCCGTACTTGTTTTGCCAGCAATACCATGACAGAATGCAAATATGTCATTGGAAGCATGGTGTGGAACTTAAGGAGGCACACCAATGTCTGCAATCCCTGCATAGTTTTTTCCCTGCGGCACGTAGAATTAAATAATATGACCAATTAGAGATACTCACGAGACAGAAGTTTTAAATTTTGAATTGCGAAAATCATATATTAGGTATATATGTGTTCCATATATACCTAATTCGGTTCCTCTGTGTCCCAGGAACTTTCCTTTTTATCACATGAGGTGACGTAAGATTGTACCGTCTTGACGTTTTACTATCTTTCGATAGTTATTTTTGTGTTACACATTCACAAGTCAATCAATGATCTTACACTTCAGTAAAATTTATACAATTTAAGAAAATTGTTTGTTACAATGAGCCTATTGATTAAGAATGCATTTCGGGTATTTCTAGAAAGTTTCCCGTCAAGTATCAGTTCAGGTTCTGACTATACGTCATTGAGTACCTGATGTAAACAAGTTTGAGTAATGTTGTAGTGACCTGTGAATGACTAAAACAAATGTGTTTTACAAATAATCAATTCTTGCTTGCGGAACCCATGAACCCCCCAAATTCTCACTTCATGAATTGATGTGGTATCTAACGAAAGAACACGAATTATTATTATTATTATTATTATTATTATTATTATTATTATTATTATTATTATTATTATTATTATTATTACTTTTTCACTTCTCCCTCGCTGAGTGGGAACATTCACCTGCCGTAGTCACTTCGGCTAATCACACTCGCACGGCTCCGGCGAGCAAGTACGGGCACTTTTGGTGGATTCTGTTAGTTTAATCAAGCTTTTCTTCTAGGAATTTTCTTACTAAATGACATGTATACAGAATTACCGATTTTTGCATTGTCATCAGCAGTTTTCCGGTTTCTGAATGTCTCGAGTTGACTCTTCGTCGATTTTAACACTACTCCGGTATTTGAGATTATTATAGGTTGAATGGTGACCTTTTTTACCTTCCAGAGCTTCTTTATCTCCTCTGCCAAATCCTTATAGTTAGTAATCTTTGTATTGTAGATAGTACTGATGTTATGAGTGATGCCAATGTCAATAATATACTCCTCTTGTTCACTTTTGTCCAAGAACAAAATATCAGGGCGGTTGGCTGTACAGTAACATCTGTTCTTATTTCTCTATCCCAGTGTAGCCTTACATTATGGTTATCAATAACATTCAAAGGTTCGTATTTAAAATAAGGGACTTCTATTATGTTTCTTATTAAGTGTTAATGAAGGATTTTTGTCGCATTGTCATTATTCTCAGTGTATTCTGTGCTTACTTTCCAATTATATGTTCCATGGTTTCTGATGAGCTTTTACATTTCCTCCATTTCTCATCTATGTTTGCTTCTTTTTGGACATACTTTTGATAGTTTCTTGTTGGTATCACTCATGAATAGCCAATCATGAAACACATTGTCTCGCCAAACACGTTGCCTTTCTTAATCAACACGTGTGTTGATTCCTGGTCAACAACGTCGTACTCTAGCTGGCTGGAATACGTTCCATGCAATGCTTTTGATTTACAGTCTGTCTTCTCATTCTCAGTTGATTTACACTGAAAGGCGAAATTATTTTTCACGAGATGCAAGGGTGTTGCATTAACGTCGACTTTGCAGATGACTCGAAACATATCGAGAGATGCCTGTTTCCTGTGAAAGTATGGTCTCAGGTTATTAATTTGTTTGTTGTGATGGCGTGCGATGCCACCTAAGCCCATTCCTCCCATCGATACGGAGAGGCTAATCCGTTCTATTGCAGTTTTCGGGTGTCTCCTTCAGTGCTCAGTGAGCTGTGTTCTAATCAGTCTTGAAATGTCTTCCAGATCTGTTAATGGCGATTTAATAATTCCAAATGAATATGTGAGTACATGTGCATTAATTGCATTGTGTCAATTGCTCTTATTTTATTTCTGCTGATGAGTTGGGTTTTACGTATGCTTGTAATTCTTTGCAAAAAGTTCTGTTTCAGATTCTCTTTTATGTGCATGTGATCAATCACTTTCAGTTGTTCAATTCCAAGGTATTTATATTTATCAGAGATATCCAGATCTTTTCTCTTTTTTTCAGGTGTCACGTCGTATACTTTTGATGTAACAATTTTTCCTTTAACAAGGTGAACAGATTTGCACTTGTCAAACCCAAATTCTATACATATTTCGCTACTGAAGCCATGTCAAGTAGTTTGTGCAACTGTTCTCTTGACTTTCCATAAATGTTCAAATCGTTCATATATGAGAGGTGATTGATCACATAGTTCTCTTATGATGGCGTTGTTAGTCTGAATCCATATGATGAATTATTAAATGATTCACTGAGTGGGTCAGTGCGAATCAATACCACACACACACACACACACACACACACACACACATACATATATATATATATATATATATATATATATGTATGTGTGTGTGTGTGTGTGTGTGTGTGTGTGTGTGTGTAAAGAAAGTCTATTAAATATGTGTGAGGGATCGAGTGAGTCAAATGCGTGTTTGTAATCAATATATAGCATGCTAATATTTCTTTTTTGGTCACTGCTTGTGATTCTATTCTTTTATTAATAATAATAAAAATAAGGATAATTTATTAATATTATTGTATCAGCCATTTCTGAACCAGCTCCACGTTATCTTCAAATACCCAGTCATACTCTATTCTGGAGAGAGATTAACGTTTGTAATTATGGGAATCAGCTTTTCGGCTGTATCCTTTGGTAAGAAAAGGTTGTTAAGCCTTGAGTTATGAATTATGAGGTGAAAGGATAATGATGATGATGAGAAGTGATCATAGCCGTTTGTACCATCACAGCATTCGCCGGCATGACCTAGGAAAACCACGAAAACCACAGGTTAATCCGGGGATAAAACCCGGGCCTCCCGACTGCGAAGTCAGCGCGCTAAGCACTGAGCCACTTTGTTCGGTTTATTATTATTATTATTATTATTATTATTATTATTATTATTATTATTATTATTATTATTATTAAATATGAATTAGGACTATAGAGGACAAGTGAATTACGACACTAGGCTGTTATTTGGGTTACAGATCCAATATTATATAATCTCACTCACAGCAAGTAAATTATAATAATGCATACTTAAGTCGAGTTAATTAAGTATACAAGACTATGTTGAATTTTGAAATCAAACAATCAGAAACAGGAACTATCGATGTTAACTAAGCATGGAAAGCATTCTTGGCTGCGAGTGACAGTAAGCGTTAATAACAGGTTCGTTACGATAAACAAAGCAATACAGATCAATTACTAAACAGGTTAAATACAATTCGCTACGAATACAGTTTGAATATAAGATCGTTCAACATCAACAGATGGAATTTTAATATTACAATAGAGATGTCCAGAACACGTGACTTGTAGTATTTCGCCTTGTAGCACCGTCGCCTCTGGGGGGCAAGCGGCAGGATGCTACAGGCAGTGAGCTTATGGATAAAACAAGATATAAATGTCGAATTTCCTTCAAAAGTCATGATAATTCTTGGAGGCTTTTCTCTGCCTATGATAGTTTAAAATCGTTTTTGTTTTATTTTGTAGGTACACTTTCTCGCAATGAGATTTTTTTTCTCTAAAATAAAGTTGTGTTTTCACGATAACCAAATTGTGTCCGATAGTGGACTGAGGAAAAAGGGGCCAGGAGAGTTAGAGTAAGCTTTTCTAGATGCCCTACTGTTCCCAAAAATCAGGAATATAAAATTGTAGGACCCTCGGAACAAAGATGCTAAAGGAGATTTCTGTTTTGATGCAAGAAAAGTGAGATAGTTATTTCAAGTCAATAGCTCTACGTTGCAGATTCCGCCCATCTTCGTAATTCGCAATTCACTCGTCTAAACATTTTCCTATCATTCTCAGATTTTACACGAAAAATGTAAAAACGTATGTGCTAGGTTTTTCACATTTTTGCAATAATATAAACAACCCCTAAAGGACGTAGCTCTCAATAAATAAGTTGTCATTTACATTAATTTACGTGTTGTACAAACATAGCATCATAATTTGTACTATAAGTCACTAAAATTTTGTAGATCTTCAAGACTTTATTTGTGTAAAAGCTAAGCCCACATATTACGTAGATCACCAAATCAACTATTTTATTCTGCCCTGAGGTCTTTCAAGTCGTGTCCCAATCGTATTGAATGTAATAGTATCAAATGATGCTTCATACGGTCATGCTTCATACTCCATGCCTCATACGATCTCGATCATGCGACATGTAGCCACACGACCGAGAATGACGTGAAATACCGTGAGATATTCCATCCTGAAGATAGGTCCTGGCGCGCTCCGTTGTAAAAACCGAAGTATACAATATTAAAGATAGATATCTGTTCTTAATGCAATTTTGTTCTAAGATATGTAAATAAGCTTATGTGCAAAAAACGAGTAGGTTTTGCGTAATTTCTGCTTAAAGTTAATGCATCTTATAAAAAAAACAATTTTTGCTCAAAAACAGCTCCAAAGTTTTTCTATAATTTTTTCCATGCATTGATCAAAAGACGCCTAAAAATAGTATCATTTTCGTGTCCCATTTTCGTTGACCTTTTTGAATTTTTGAAAATAGCAAAGGTTAGGCATAATGCGAGAAAGTATGTGCTACTTCAGCTCCATTAGTTAATTTAAATTACTCTGTGATAGATGGTTCAACACCATAAAGTGCCACTGATTGCATCATATATTACGCATCTTTTATTACTAATGTAAAATAACACACGGTCTACTTTGGAAGGTTTTGAATGTTTTATAAAATATTCCACAAATTTATTCGGTATATCTCTTCATTTGACGAACTCGCTGGGATATTACAATCCAGTGCTTCTGGGTTCGCTCTTTTCGACGAAAAATCATCTTAATTTTACCCTATGGAACTTTATTATTTATGTCACTCCTCAGAAGTTAAATAGTGACGTAAATGGTGACGTCATACTACTAAATTCTTTCGTATCTTTACGTGTGACAATTTTTCAACTAGTTGGGAATGGGTCAAAACGTGCGAGGACATCTTCAAAATTATAAAATATACCCACATTAGTTGTATTGAAACTATTCACATGTAAGAATATATTTTCCAGATTTTCTGATCGCCAATCACCGCTGCGTCAGAATGTTTGAAATACAGAGTCATCTATTAGTATCCCTCTGATTATGAAATGTAAATTCCAATCGTTTTTATTTTATCTACAACGTATTTTGAAACTACTAAAATTAATACAATAATTATTCAATTAATACATGCTACGTCTGAAAACTTACCATTCCGGATTGTCTAGTAATTGCAAGCACTGTAGCATAGAATCTCGAGGACGTGACAGTGGCCTCAGTTTATTGGGAAATGGCCCTTTGTAGGACTTTGCTGTTACTGAAGACGTCTGATTTCCTTCCTCAATCACCATCCGGTCGTCTGATGCGGCAAGGTCTTTCTGTGAACTGAAGATATGCATATTAGAAACATTGTATTTATTGTATTTATGAACAGAGAAATGATATAGTCAAGTCGGGAAAATTAGAGAATCAGGAAATGATACAGTCATATATCATTTCCCGATTCTCTAATTTTCTCACACTTGAACGATCAAAATTCATATTTTTTTGTTTTCACAATTTGTTTTTCTCAATCTGTTACATTTATACAGATGAAGAGATTTACTCGTACCAAAGGCGTCGTGTGAACCTTGTAATAACAAAGAATAATATAAAAGATTTTTGTACCAAAGTTACATTAACGCAGAAAGCGCGATTTCCTTCCACAAAATGGAGTACACAGTATCTACCCTACTCTGCACGGTACTGGGATGCAAGAAGTCTGACCGGACGCGGGCTTCATTCCGGCGCGGCGACAGAACGTAAGTAAACATTGGGAATTGACGTTGATGCTTCTCCCGAATAAGTCGATATGAGTCTAATCTTTGGTACATGCTGGAGCAACACCCTGCAAGTTCGCGTCAAAGGCTCTCCGAATCACCGTCACCCCATACTAACCTCATTTCTGTCTCGTCGCAAAATCTGTGCAAAAGTATTCACGTTAATGAGCCGAAGTGCGACCTGATTTGTCACCGCCCAGAAACGTGAAGAATTTGGTGTATGGCTTAGGTGGTCGTTTTTTATCATAGAGTTGTGGCTCACTTAGAATTATTGAGACGTATGTGTCGTAGCATTGTGACCTAGTCTCTTGCTTGCTCTAGGGCAGACCTGCACAGCATTTTGCACGTTGACTGACATGGGGAGCCGCGCGCGAGCACCTTGAGTGCAGACCCTCTTGGATTGATGGGGAATTGCGCATTTTTAAACGTAGCGCGTAAATTGAAAGAGTAATTGCGAGAATGGACGGACTATTACACACAGTTCAAGTGTCATTACTTTTATTTTGAGTTTGTTGTCGATGTATGACAATATGAAGAATGAAACTAAAACGAATTAGACATTGTAATTGCTTGTAAGGCTGATAATGTAATTTTATTTGCTACGATGTAATCAGAAATTTAGCTGCTACTAAATACACATTTGTAATATTGAATCTTTTGTTTGATGTCGGTAATAATTTGTTTCATAACTATGTTTAATTAAGACGGTTCTATCTTAAAAATCATAATTACTTTCTGCTATAATTTCCGACAAGTGTACATTATATATTTCTAATTTCAAATTAACGAACATTATTTATTCATAATCGTTTACGACATCGTATAAAAAATCAATCCCTTGGTGTTCAATTTAACAAAAGTCATAATAATGTCACGATTGACCGTAAAATATTGTAAATGGGGTTTGGTCATTGGTATCTCTTATTCAGATTCATAATGAGGGAAAGTTGTCACAAATGTATGTGCTGCCAAACATTACCCTTCTTAAAATTGCCTCTATTTCATTTTTATATCAATTTCGTTGTGAGAGACTACTCTAAATTTCCTCAATTTTTCTATCATTTGGAGATTGTAACATTTTTGGTGAAAAATGAGTTATTAAATTGTAAATGTTTTTAGTTAAAATTACATAATAAATTTTTAAAAGAGGCCACTACTTGGAAATTTTTATGAGTTACAATGAGCATGAAGTAAAAAAATAAATAAATTTTAAAAAATGTCAATGCATAGAAGTGCTAGAAAAATTAAACAGTGAAATATGGCCCTTGTATCTGGAAATATCGTAGATTGCCCTTTTAAATAAGTGAGAAAATCATTTCACGGCATGGATTATTGCATTAGACACCCTGGTATTCAATCTACGCACCGCGTCAACCCCACTCCGTCCTCTACCCTCGCCCGAAGCTGCCTTCTCCCCAACACTTGCACCTTCGCAGCTCTTGCTTGCACACGGCTGGCTCGTAAATACAGAATGCCCGCAGGAGCAGGCGTTGTGCAGGCCTGCTCTAGGGTTATTTTGAAGAGTATCACGTAAATTTGTGCTCTGTATAATGTATACTTGTAAACGTGTCAGGCAAAACTCTTTTCCACCTTCCGAGGAGGTATGCCGCCCTTACCGGGACGCTTGTCCATGGATTAATCCACATTGCACGAACAATAATCCGCTAATCTCGCACGTCGAAAACTTGAGGATGAACGCTGCGTGGTTTGTTACCTAATCTTTTCCTCTCACCAAAACGGCCTATAATGTGCACGACCTATAATTTGTTTGTTTTTTTCAAAACGTCTGTCTCTCTGCCTGTCCGTCCATCTGTGAACACTACTATCGCCTAAACCATACGTACGATTTTTTCCAAATTGAAGAAACCCCTGTCCACCTCGCTCGAGTCAAAGCTTTGAAATTTTGGAAAACATTCTAAATTCGGGAGCCCACAAGACATTTGCAAAATGTTCTCAAAAACTGGCTCCGATTTTTTCTTTAAATTTCTTATAAGATTAGAGTAAAATACACGAAAGTCGAATAGGTCCGGTTTTCACGGTTAACTCTGAATTTTCAGAACTTTCAAAAGTAAGTATTTCTTTCGGTGTCTTCGTAAAAACTACACAATTAAATATAGAGATTTTCCCTTCAAATTGCGTGCAATACAAAAAGTAACAGAAACAATATTTTCTTCAAAAACAGCTCCAAGTTTTTTCTTTAAAATTTTGGTAAGGATACTGCTAAATGCACTATATAACAGGGCATTAACGCCTTAATGCTCTTCTTTGTTTGTTTTTTTTTTTCAAAAATTAAAGAAATGTAATTTTTTACTTGTTTCTCACGCCCTTATTATTTATACTAGCGGCAATTAGTTCACATTTTTATATTTATGAGTACATGAACTTTAAATAGTGTTTTATAAAGTTTCTCGAAAACTCAACCGTTTTCTGTGAAATCTAGCTCATAATTCCGCATTTTCAGAAAAGCTCAAACGCCATTTTCACAAAAATGGCTCCAATTGTTTCTTCAAACTTTTCGAACGGATAGTACTAATTGCATTCTTTAATATGACCAAAAGTTCATTTGGGGGTAGTTTTATGTTTTTCAAAAATTACTCAAATGTATTTTTTTAAAAAGATTTTACACGCCTTTAATATAAACATTTCCATCAATTTGTAAACACTTTTGTACTTGCGAGTTATAATGCTTCAAGTGTAAATGAAGTTTTTCGAAAACTCAAAAATTATCTGTGAAAAAGAGCTTCAAATTTCGAATTTACTCGAACATCCCTAACCAATGAAGGAAAACCGGACATGAAATGTTGGGCTTTTTGAATTCTGAAATCGGAGAATGGCGAACAACTACTTAATATCTGATAATATAGGAAAGGAAAGTAATGATGGATATATATTATTATTTGGAAGGACAGTACCCCTTGAACTTTCCTACCGTAACCGCCACTGCTAAAGACAAAATACATTTCATTCAACATTGAGTTGAATTTTCAGTGAGCCTTGAACTCAGAAAGGGGGACGCTTTTCCGACATCTACTTTTATGACAATTCGCACTCGTATCTATGTCTGTTATTAATCAGGTTATAAGGTCACAAGAGAATTTAAAGTGGATTTGGTTAAACAATCGGCACGAGGGTGTTTGACGCGTTGGACACATCATCGATAGAACGATGGCGTATTGTCGACATGAAAAGTGACAGATCTAAAAAAAATGTTAATTTGCAAGCGTAATGTAATCAAGGTTGTTGTTGACTGTCAAGATATTGTTTTGCTCTATGTATCGACTGTCTTGCCAATTATCATGATGAAAATGTTATTAGTAAAATTGTAGTTTTTTAAACATTTTTCTTCACTCAACTAAAAACGAAGAAGTTTTAAATGAGTCACTTTTCTTGCGCTCCGACGATGTTAGTTTAATTAAGAAAGTGCTACTTACGACTGGCTGTGGCGTACAGATCCATTTGCCATGCTGGGAAGGCGTTTCCGAGCATTCCTACTGCTAGAGACTTCCTCGTGGGGTAAGTTGATCGGACGGACATCCAGCGCTCGGGTTGCTGTTTCTGACGTCCCTGATCTTCGTGACACGTTTTGAATCAGGAAGGGAGTGCTTGAACTGCTAAAGGATGAATTAGGCAACATGGCGCTGCTAAATAATTTTGAATTTTCCGAATGATCGGAGAGAGAGTGACCGGACGCTCCTAGGAGATTGGGAGAATTGCTGGTTTTGCCATTGAAAGAAGAAGACATTTTAGGAGAGCATGAAGACTCGGGTCTTTCTGTGCGAAATTCGGAGTGGTTAGGTGACCGATAAGTTTCCCTTTCACTTGAATCTCGTTGTGAAGGAGATGATATTTTTGCTTCAGATTCCGTCCCCATAGCCCTAGGTGGACCAGCGACCGGGGACAATGCCATCGATGCTGGTCGTTCCCCTTCTAATGTTGCCGGAGCCGAAGTTCCACCAAATCCTCTTCTGGACACCTTTCCATCCATTTCCTTTGTATCATTGTTGGAACTGCCCAGCCGGGGACTCAGTTCAAGTGCCTGCAAAATAATAACAGTTTTTGAAATGTGTGAAACTTTGCATAAGTGTTTTATGAATTTGAGTTCAGAAAATCTAAAGTCGATGAAGGGGCAAGTTGCTATTGATGGTGTTGAAAAATATCATAGCCATAAGTTGTTTTCATACTTTTAATAATAAGATTAATAATAATATTCATATTAATAATAATGTTCCTGTTAGTAATAATTTTCATAGTAGTAATAATTTTCACATTAATAATAGTTTTCATATTAATAATTTTTATAATATATATTGTGCCCACTTTGCCCAAAATACTCAATGCCGAAAGGAAAAGATAGCTTTATATCTGACGATGCTTGGATTTGTCTACAATACACGAAGGGAAGTGTCCTGTAACCCGACAAAATATATTTTTATTTTAGACAAACGTTTCAGTGAAGAACAAACTACGATGGCTAGAAATCGAAATTGGGAAATATCAAAAAATAATCAATGTGAGATTCTCATGTATTCTTCAATACTACTGAGGACAGGACCGCCACTCGGACTGAGAACATTCGGACCCCGATACAACAAAGGTGTGTTGGACCTTATTAAAACATTCTACCGGAATGAATACGCGTATATTGCGTATATACGCGGATTTCTTTCAATTGACTATATCGATTTAATTAGAAAAGTACCGATGTATCGTTGCTGCAACCATAGATGCCTAGGTTTTTGTGCTAGAGCCTTCAGGTGATAATCTGTGTCGCACTTCATTTAATACAATAGATTATTGACTTTTATGTATAATAGATGATGATGTATGATGTATGAGGGTTACAAACTTGTAGGGCATATAAGGAGGGTGGAGGCAGAGATAACTTTTTGCCGATGAGCATGTGGTGGGAAATCCTGTATAAATATCATAAGTTTCAGTTTCACACCCCTACGAAAATGTGTATGTTATGGTTTTTGGGACGATGATTACGAATTTCATGTCAGTCATAGTTGAATGGAGTTCCATGGATGAAAGTTCCATGGAGAATCCAAAAAAATGGATCCAATATGGTGGATCAAATATTTTAAAATAAAGTAGGTACTTGCAAAACTGTGTATTTAAGTATTTTAGGAGTTGCTGATTATGAATTTTTGATGTCACAATTTAAAAATTCAAAATGGCGGATCCAATAGTTCAAAAGTAAGTGAATTCGCATGAAACAGTGTAATTAAGGATTTTTGGAGGTGCTGATTACGAATTTGATATCAAAATTTAAAAGTTCAAAATGATGGATCCAATAATTAAACATTAAAATCATTCGCATGGTACTGCGTATTGAAGGATTTTCAGTGTTGCTGATTAAAAATTTGATGTCAAAATTGAAAAATTTAAAAGTATAGATCCAATATGGTGAATCAAATACTTGAAATTAAATAGTAAGGTGATAAGAAAAAATATAGTAAGGTTTTAGGTGCACAATTTTGATGCAAACATTGAATTCAAATGGTAATATTTATTTATTGAACATAATTTGTTTTTTTCATTTTCAACTGTCAAAGGTAAACGGAACACTATGCGACCTGCAGCCGACCGCGGAGAGTGGCACGCCGTATCGAGACCTGCCGGTTACGCCAAATACTATAGATACTCTCCAGGAGTTAAATAATGACGAAAAATATAGGGGCAAATATGCGCAGCTGCAATTTGGCGTACTGATAGGAAAAAAATGGGGCTTTCCAACAAGTTGAATTTCAAAGCGCTACTAAGCGGTACAACAGTTGTTGACCTCAATATGTAACAAAATGAGATACGTGCAAAAGGTTGCCGTACACATGCTATACTCGTCAAAATGCATATTGTTTCACCAACTATGGACCACCTCCATAACTTCTAGACGGTTCAAGATATCAAAATGCAGTTTTCGCTGAATAATGTGGAAGCATGGGACAAGTAGCATGCCGTAGAGGAATTGTATATAATATTTTTTAGTTTTCGACAAATTTAATCATCTTTGATTTTTTATTTGGAACTGTATATTTTTCTCAGAAAAAGAGGAATAAAATGAAATATCATATGTTGGTATCTCGATAGTAATTTGAGTATAAAATTAGACTTTCTGACAAGTGATTTTTAATTAAACGGACAGTATTTCATGTAACAGCCGTTGCAACTCTCGCCTTCGGGAAAGGTGGCCTTCGCGGCGTCAAGACTTTTGCATGGAGAGGGGAGACTGAGAGGGGTGGCATTGAGGGATAAGAGGCGTAACTACAGCAATCCATGGTCTTGACACTGATGTCACACTAAGAAATACCAATTTTAACGATCAGAATGAGAGTTTTTTTAATCCATTTGGATTTAACTGGTCTTCTACTGAAATTCCAAAAATTGATTATTCCAAAGAACGTTATAAAAATTGGTAGCGTAAAGAATATGATAACAACAAATATCACTTTCAAATTTGACAAGAATCCAACCACCTTCGTTTGTAAATTCGTAGTTCATTTTCAATGAAGATGATCACTCCTCCACGTCGCAACCATATGACTGCTGTTCATAATGCTGTTCATCAATGGAAAAGAAAACAGTACACTTCCAACTTCTGTCGTGGATTTTCAGGTTTGTGGCAGCACCTGGCGCTGGTGAAGTGTGAAACTCTCCAATCAGTAGCAGCATTCGCGAGTGCAGATGCGCATTTTGCGTAAGTTTGGTAATTTTGCGATGATACAACTGTCAAGAGTATTCCAACATTTTTATTGCTTTGTGCTTTTGATGCATATTTAAAAAAGTATCAAGAGTAAGTAAAAAGAGAAAATGTCTAAATCTATTATGTAGTAAATTAATCGAGATATTACAGTGAAACTCTTAAAGCATTTATTCCCTTCCCATGTTTTAAAATGATGTCTTGTTTCTGTTTTAACACAATGAGCTCGATTTTTGTACGTTTGAAAATAACCTTTTTTTATCGTCCTTCCGCTATATTTTTTTCTTATTTTGTTCTTTTTGATTATCGTTGTTTCGGAATTTCACTAGAAGAGACATTCAATTGATGAACAAATGGGGGAAAATCTCGCATTCTGATCGTTCTTATTGATGTGTATTCATATGTTGCTGCGTGTGATGACCATGTATTGCTGTAGTTTTGCCCCTATCTTTCACGGCTCAGACTCCTATCTCCACGAAACAGTATCGACGCCAGGAAGGCCACCTTCCCCAACGGGGACTGTTGCATGGGCGACTACAAGAAATGTCCGTTACTCAAAAATCACATGTCAGAAAGTCTAATTTTATGCTCAAATTACTATACATATTATATCAAAATACTAACATATGATACGTAATTTTATTACTCTTTTCATGATCTATCCATTGCTGGCGAGAAAAATATATAGGCTTATTTAAAAAATCAATAATGATTAAATTTCTCGAAACCTAAAAATATTATAGACCATTTCTCTAAGATATGTTACTTGACCCATGCTTCCACATTGTTCAATAAAAAATGCATTTCCATTCCGCGAACCATTTATAAGTTACGGAATTTAACTTTCCTTCATTTGTATTATCCATTCGGCAATACAGAAAATTCCAAAAAATTTTTTTTTTAAAAAAACGCCGTTTTTATTTACACAAACTTGCTTCATAATTTCGCGCATTTTCGACGTTCAAATACGGCCACCGTAGAATGAGAGAAGAAAATAAGGTTGGAATTTCTTTTTTCACGCTGGAATATGATGCACCAACATCTGTAAAAGATTTGATGGAACTAACCTCTACGTGTGAATTTCGATTTTTTGAATTATGGCCAAGGTTTTGATCAGTTGGAACCAGTGTGTGTCGTACGAAATCGCGCCTCACGTTGTGACAACTATGTTGGTTACGACAGTACCGACAGTACTTTGTACTACCTACATTACCACCAAATACAGACGTTCATTGTCGTTATTGAGCCAAAGCAGGGCTGAACGTTAAAAATGATCTGCTACCTTTCTGCATGGTTTCATACGGTACAACATGACACCACTTTAGTCTGTCGCAACGCTCTGGTGTGTTTACGGCGCTAGATGTAAAGGTCGCCGTGCAGGCAAAAAACGGCTTTGGCAAAGGTACAAACACACACAGAATGCTGCAGAAGCGCATTGCCGTTACCTGATTGATAGTAATAGAGGAACTTCCGGCTCTTCGCACTTCTCTGAGAATCCACCTGAACCATGATTAATGACGGTCGTTGAGACCAAGGGAGGTGCGTGCGTGCCTCTATTCACTTCTGCCGACATCGGCTAATGGTAATTCTGTAGGTCCCATCTGGTGCGCAATTTGGCGGAATGACCATAGAGACTCTCGCAGCGCTAATTCAATTCATTTATCGCGTGGGAGAAGTTTAATTTATTTATGTAGGGGAGAAATAGAATATGCGCCCTCTTTTTTAGTCCCAGAACTCGTCGTCATCTAATGTCCTAACAAAAGGTAACAACGAACGTCGTTGCCAACATTTGAAAACCTAATTGTCGGTCCCGTGGTAGAGAGGTTTTTGTATCGACAAAATAACTACATATTCTATAAAGTACCCCTACAATGCCAGATCTGTCGAACGCAGTTAACCGATCACATAACTTTTTCTGTACGTTTGATGTACGTAATTTGAGTTGGCATTAAAAGACGCCAATTTGCCATAGAGACTAACTCTTACTGGGGGGAATAAACAATTTTAGAATTCCTTTTTTAAGAGCGTTATTTCAAGAAGCACGATAGGGTCGTTTGGATACGGTAACATTTGACACAATGATGCGAATATTCCTACAATGTCCTGTTGTAAACAATTTTGCCACCTACAATGTTTCGACGAGTTAAATATTATTGATTTATTAACAATAAGTTGAATAACCATGAAAAATAGAGACCCAACTACATAAATCAGTTATATCAAGGTAGTTGTTACCAGGCAGCAGTTATGAAAGTGATTCTGGAACTTACGAATTGGCGGAACACAGAAAAATATGTAATATACGTTAGTTATTTTATGTTTATTCGTATTTTTAATTGAGTTTTTGTACAGACCTCTTTGTGTATGATGGAAATAATGCTTATTCTATGATGAAACCTCTGCAGCAAACTTACGCAGCTCTCTATCGTTATAGGAAATCAAAGAGATGAGTGATCACGACACTAGGTAACCTAGTGGCAAACATCTATGATGCAAGTCGTGATACTACCGCCGGGAACCTTGATATCACTGAGCCAAATACAGCAAGCTTACGTAAAAGTTTATGATCTTATTTAAATTATATTATTAGATTAGAGTGTTCCTCTTTCATTCCAATAGAAATGATGGAACATTAATAAAGTATGCAACACAATCCAAAAGCTGATGTGAATAATAATTTCGTTTCTTCTCTTTCATATATCAGAAAATTAATGATCTGAAGGATTGTGCGGACCTTCACGCAACTTGACAACCCCCATTCATTCACAGGTGACTTCCATAATGTTGTAGTTCAATGCCATGCAAATCGACGTCTCAGCTTTTCTTGAAGCTAATATCGACCAGCAGGGGCGAATGTCCTAGGTTACCTCGCTAGTTAGAGCGTTGACCTTCCTAAGGTCACGATTTGTGGCGAGACAGAATTATTAAACGTGCTGAGAACTCCTGTATCGAGCCACCACATCAAAGCCTTTGCTAGTGGCACAATGAAATTCACGTATAGAAACAATAAATTGTTGGAGGTCATTTTTATTTTCTTCAGTATTCAATCTAGATTTTAAAGTGAATTCGTGAAAGTTAAAAAAATATGTAAATAAGATTTTTTTTAAATGCTCCATTTTTTGTCTAATAGAAAAACGTTTGCGTAATGGTAAACCATAGATCCGATTTTCATTACAACTTCTTGAATGTCGAAATTTGGA